AGGAAGCACAGGCTCTCAGGCTGGTGGAAACCCTCTGAGGGTGCGCGTTTCCTGCTCTCCACAGCTGCCTCCCAGCCCTCTGGGGGCCACTCTCCTGCTGACACCCAGCTTGGCACAACTTTCCACCAAGAGGGTGTCCACAAATGCATCCCCAAACGACAAGTGCACACAGATCACCAGTTAGCAGCCCAGAGAGAAGGACAGCCAGTGAACGGCTCGAGCTAGGGACGAAAGGAAACAAGCTGAGATTGCCGGTAGCGGGAGAGGGGCTCTTTGGAGAGGCCCAGAGGCAGAAGGAGGCTAAAGAACAGAGAGGAGGTGGAGAGGAGGAGGCTCTGGGGGCTGCCGGGAGACAGAGGGTCCCAATGACCTGGCAAAGGTAGGCTGGTGTCAGGTGGAATGGGAAGTAGACAGATGCAGGTCAAAGGGGCCCCAGCAGGGTCTAGAAGACTCAGTATCATTTCCTCCTGCACGCTTTACTCCTCCTGGTATCTACTGTGTTCCAGGGGCTGGTCTGAGATGCAGAGAAGGGATACAGTCCTTCCTGCAGTAGTTCATAGCTGTGAAGGGCAGTGACAGGGCAGGACCCCAGAATATGGACCCCTGGCAGAGGCTGGAAGGTGCAGGAGTAGTGGTCAGTGACCTGGAGATGGTGGGACCCAGCCGAATGTATCCTGAGGGAGAAGTGGCAGACATCCAAGTAGAGAAGCGGTTGGGGAGAACCAGGGAGCAGAGCAGCCATGCAAAGGTGGAGAGGCAGGAGAGAGCCAGGGGGCTTGCTATAGCTACGGTGTGTACATGCGTGTGTATCGAAATGCACAGAATAGCAAGAAGTGAGACGAGGCTGTCTAGGCAGATATAAGGCATTTGCCTCGCCAAATGCCCTGTGTGCTCTGCTGTGAATACTTGGATGCAGTGGAGCACATTCAGATGACACAGAGTGACAAGGTATAAGATTTGTGTTTTGAAGACAGTGTGGTGTGCTGGAAGACTGAAGCTAGAGGGCAGCTGGTTAGGAATCCTTGGCAGTATTTCATGCTAGACGTGATGGAGGCCTGACAGGATACTAATAACAGCCATGCTTCCATGCCAGGCATTGTTCTCTGCCTCTTTACAGAGTAGTCCGCTTGATCATCACAATAGTACTGTAAAGCAGGCACCGTACTACTATTATGTCCACTTTGCAGGTCAGGAAACTCAGGCCCAGAGAAATGAAGCAACATGTTCAAGTTTCCCTATCAAAGCCCCAGAGTTGGCCAGGCGCAGTGGCTCACACCTGTAATCCCAACACTTTGGGAGGCCGAGGCGGGTGGATCACTTGAGGTCAGGAGTTTGAGACCAGCCTGACCAACATGGTGAAACCCTGTCTCTACTAAAAATACAAAATTTGCTGGGCATGGTAGCGTGCACCTGTAATCCCAGCTACTTGGGAGGCTGAGACAGGAGAATCGCTTGAACCCAGGAGGCAGAGGTTGTGGTGAGCCGAGATCATGCCATTGCACTCTAGCCTGGGCAACAAGAAGGAAACTCTGTCAAGAAAGAAAGAAGGAAAGAAAGAAAGAAAGAAAGAAAGAAAGAAAGAGAGAGAGAGAGAGAAAGGAAGGAAGGAAGGAAGGAAGGAATCAAGAAAGAAAGAAGGAAAGAAGGGAAAGGAAAGAAAGAAAGGAGAGAGAGGGAGAGAAAAAGGAAGGAAGGAAGGAAGGAAGGAAGGAAGGAAGGAAGAGAGAGAGAGGAAGGAAGGAAGGAAGGAAGGAAGGAAGGAAGGAAGGAAGGAAGGAAGGGCGGGCGGGCTGGGCGCGGTGGCTGAAGCCTGTAATCCCAGCACTTTGGGAGGCCGAGACGGGCAGATCACGAGGTCAGGAGATCGAGACCATCCTGGCTAACATGGTAAAACCCCATCTCTACTAAAAAAAATACAAAAAACTAGCCGGGCGTGGTGGTGGGCGCCTGTAGTCCTGGCTACTCAGGAGGCTGAGGCAGGAGAATAGTGTGAACCCGGGAGGCGGAGCTTGCAGTGAGCTGAGATCTGGCCACTGCACTCCAGCCTGGGCAACAAAGCGAGATTCCGTCTCAAAAAAAAAAAAAAAGAAAGAAAGCAAGCAAGAAAGCAAGCAAGCAAGCAAGAAAGCCCCAGAGTCTGTGCTAAATGGGAAGGCCCTGGCTGTCAGCATGGTGAAGAGGAGACAGACAGGCAGATGTGAAGGAGGAGCAGTCAGGCTAACCTGAAAGCTTCTTGGGAGTGGTGGGGGTAAGAGAGAGGGAAAAATCAAAGATGAGGGTAAGGGAGCATCCTGGGTCAAATAGCTCCCCCACCAAATTCATGTCCAGTTGGAACCCATGAATGTGACCTTATTTGGAAATAGCGTCTTTGCAGATGTAATTAAGTAAAGATGAGGGCATACTTGACTAAAGTGGGCCCTAAATCCAAAGACTGGGGTCCTTTTTTCTTGTTTTTTTGAGATGCAATCTTACTGCACTGTCCAGGCTGGAGTGAAGTGGCATGATCTTGGCTCACTGCAACCTCCACTTCCCAGTTTCAAGTGATCCTCCCACCTCAGCCTCCCGAGTAGCTGAGACTACAGGTGTGTGCCACCACGCCCACCTAAATTTTTTGTATTTTTAGTAGAAATGGGGTTTCACCATGTTGCCCAGGCTGGTCTCAAACTTCTGACCTCAGGTGATCTGCCCCTGCCTTGGCCTCCCAAAGTGCTGGGATTATAGCCTTGAGCTACCATGCCTAGCCAAGACTGGTATCCTTATACGCGGAAGGAAACTTGGATGCAAACATATGGGGAAGGCTTTGTGAAGATGGAGGCAGAGGTGGGGTGATGGAATGCCCAAGATCGCCAGCAAACAGCAGAAGCTAGGAGAGGCAAGGAAGAATTTTTCCCCAGAGCCTTCGGAGAGAGAGGGCTCAGCCAACACCTTGGTTTAAGACTTCTGGCTTCCAGAACTGTGACAGAATAAATGTCTGCTGTTTTAAGACACCTGGTTTGTGGTCATTTGTTATGGCAGCCCAGGAAACCAATACACTCTCCCCACTTCAAAGAAACCAGGCCTCTGCGAGGAGGATGGTAGCACATCCACCTGAGTCAGGTAACATTCAAAACATGGAGGGGCCAGGCACAGTGGCTCACGCCTGTAATCCCAACACTTTGGGTGGCTGAGGCAGGCGGATCACCTGAGGTCAGTTCAAGACCAGCCTGGCCAATATGGCGAAACCCCGTCTCTAATAAAAATACAAAAATTAGCCCGGCATGGTGGCGGGTGCCTGTAATCCCAGTGGCAGGTGCCTGTAATCCCAGCTACTAGGGAGGCTGAGGCAGGAGAATCCTTTGAACCCAGGAGGCAGAGGTTGCAGTGAGCTGAGATCACACCATTGCACTCCAGCTTGGGCAACAGAGCAAGACTCCGTCTCAAAAACAACAACAACAAACAACAACAAAAAAAACACAGAGGGAAAGGGCAGGCAGATCCTACAGGTGAGGCGTGAAACGAGGAGTGGAGCTGACCTGGGAGGCCCTCGAAAATGAGCTTCTGACAGTGTAATCACCAAAGGTCTTGATGCGAAGGAGAGAGGGAGGAGCCTTAGAGACAAAGTGGATCATCACAGGCTGGCAGATGAGCTCGGGCTGGCGAAGGACACATTCAAAGCTGGAGGAAGGGCACAGAACCAAGGGCAGGAATAAAGGAGCAGCAGAGACAGCAAGAATAGAACCCGGCACGCTGCAGCCTACACAGAGCTGAGGCTTGCAGAAAGGGCCAATCACAGAACAATTTTTTGAAGGTGGGGGAAGGGCAGGTAGGGAGCTTGAAAAGTTTTCTAGAAACAGAAAGACCAGACCTGCTTGGCGGAGTGAGGGCTAATTTGGCACTCAAGAATGACAGATATACTCAGATGTTATTTGTCATTGATTTTCTCTATAAAGATAATGGGGAGGGCACCCTTTTTTTTTTTTTTATTTTAATGAAAAGGGCAGCACAAATATTAGCAGGAGGAAATTCAAATCTGAGTTTGTTTTGTTTTGTTTTTTGTTTTTGAGGAGTCTCTCTCTATCTCCCAGGCTGCAGTGCAGCGATGCAATCTTGGCTCACTGCAACCTCCGCCTCCTGGGTTCAAGCGATTCTCCTGCCTCAGCCTCCCGAGTAGCTGGGATTACAGGCACGCGCCACCACACCTGGCTAATTTTTTGTATTTTTAGCAGAGACGGGGTTTCACTGTATTAGCCAGGGTGGTCTCAATCTTCTGACCTTATGATCCGCCCATCTTGGCCTCCCAAAGTACTGGGATTACAGGCGTGAGCCACTGAGCCTGGCCCCAATTGGGTTTTAATGAGATACTTGTAAGGTGATGAGATCCCTGTCATAGGAGGTATTCAAGCAGAGACTGGAAGAGCCTTTCATCAGAGATGTTGTAGAAGAGAGTCCTCTGAGACTTTAGAGCTCCTTGCTCACTGCCAGGCCATCTGACCCTTAGTTCGGCTCCAACATAGGGAAGACAAGTGGGGTGGTTGCCTAGAGCTACGCCTGCTCTGCATTGGTGAGGAGGCAGCAAAAGGACAGTCTTGCCGCAGGGCCACGGCTCAGATGAGGTAGTACCAGGGAAATCATAACCCTGTGAATATGATGGTTTTCTTGCTGTGAAGGTTTTGTGATGGTAAAAGTACTAATTTAAGTTTCGGCTTTGTTTTTGTTACCAAGAACTGAATGCAACACGGCATCGCCAAATCACCCAACCCTCCCCATTCCATGCCCACCTTCCCATCTTTGGCCTCCTTTCATCCGTGACCTTCCGCCCATCCCTGCCTATTTGCAGTGGCCTTGTGGCTGAGGAGCACAGAGGAGCAAGGCAAGCCCCCCTCCCTGGTGGCAGGGGGAGTCGGGAGCACTTCCCTCCTTTTTCCTTTCCTTCCCTCCTGTGCCTCCCCTCTTTGTTCTCCATTTCTCTCTCTGCCTCTATAGCTGGCAGGATGAGCTGGCTGGGGATGAGCCAGGGCGAGCCCTTGCCACCCCTGTTGTCTGTCTGGGACAGTGGGATCATTAGGAGGATCTCGAAAGCCCCTTTGTTCCCACAGTGCAGGACACACACTCCTCCCAGCCATGCCAGACCTGGCTCTCTTCCACTCAGGTTTCCACAGGAGGCTGGGTCTATTCCTTGTGTGTTGGCTGCAGGTGGAGGAAGAAAACAGAGAAGTGTGCTCTTGGCTGAGGACAAGAATCTGCATGACGTTTTCTTTGACCTTGAGAATGCCTTTTGCTTGCCCTGAAGAGCAGGAGAGGAGCTGGAACTTTCCCCTTTGGCTCTGTCAGCCAAGTGCAGCTTTCAAATTCTCTAGGGACCACTGTATTTTCTCATGAGTGAGTCAAACGCTCAATCTGAGGCCTGGGAGACAGAGTGGAGGAAGGGAGTGGGGAAGGGGATACTAGCATCTACCTTCGGGTGGGAGAATTAGACTGAAGCCTGCCTGGGCTACTGGTATGTGTCCTTAGGCCACCAACGCCATTGTCATCTCAGTAAACAGCATATGCGGTGTGCTGGGCTGACAGCTTTCTCTCAGGTTCCCGACTTCAGATCTCCGGCTCCTCTTTCACTTAACAGATTCCAAACACTAAAACTCCCTGTGTGACAGCTGGAGAATCACTGCACCTTTCTGGACCCCGTTGAGTGACAGAAGATTGGAATGGATAGTCACATGCCTGCCCCAGCATGGATGAAGAGCCTATACTTCCATCCATTCTTGCCTCTTCCAAGTTCCCCTCATTTTTCTCTCTAAGATCAAATAAATAGACATGTTATTATTATTTTTATACATTTAATATATGCTTATGAAAGAAAAGAAGCAAGGGCCAAGCGTGGTGACTCACACTTGTAATCCCAGCACTTTAGGAGGTGGAGGTGGGTGGATCGCTTGAGGCCGGGAGTTCCAGACCAGCCTGGCCAACACGGTGAAATTCTGTCTCTAATAAAAATACAAAACTTAGCCAGGTGTGGTGGCACATGCCTGTAGTCCCAGTTACTCGGAAGGCTGAGGTGGGAGGGCCACCTGAACCCAGGAGGTTGAGGCTGCAGTGAGCTGAGATCACGCCACTGCGTGAGTGAGACTCCGTCCCCAAAAGAAAACAAGCAAAAAGGCTATAACAAGAGTCACCACCTAGAAAACAATCACTATTCACATTTTGGAGTGTATTATTATTTTTTCTCTCTCTGCATTCATTCTTCTGGCAGACACTGAGGACTCCTCCGTGACAAGACAGGCAGGGTTCCTCCCTTTCTGGTGCCTACATGTCAGTGGGAAAAATGATACATAAATCTATATAACATCTACAGACAAACAAGACAGGGCTCTCTGAGGAAGTCCCCTCTCCCCTCTCTCCGTCTCCATTGCCATTGATTTCCTCCCCAAGAATCCTTCCTTTTCTTCTGCACATCTGTGCTTCCGCAGACAAGGGCTTAGTATACCATGGGAGGGCACCAGGGCTCAGGCCTGGGTGGGCTGCATGCTGGGACAGTGCCCCTGGGCAGGGGAGAAGCAGCCCCGCCCTTGGCAGGAGCGAGATTCACTTGGGTCCTTGTCTAGAGTGCTCAAGGCTGTTAGTGCCCCTGCCTCATGTCAGCAAAGCCTCACTCTGGTGGGTAGAAGGAGAGCCTCTGCAGAAGTCGGGCCCAGAGAAGGGCCTGGTCACCTGGCCAGGTCACAGGAGCCAGGACCCAGTTTGTTCTCATGAGGCTTGGGACCTCTCATGGCCCTTTCTTTGCACTCCAAGTGGTGTGAAGGAGAAGGAGGGGGTGCTGAGGCAGCTGAGGAAGGAAGGGAGAGGGAGAGGAGGGAGGAGAACCAGCCTCGTTTCCATAGCAACCACACATGTGAGCCAGCTGCATCACCATGGAAACAAGGGGAGCCTGCTCAGAGGCTGCACTGTCTCAGGGGAGACACAATTTTTGACCAAAAAAAAAAAAAAAAAAAAAAAATATATATATATATATGTATATATCCTTTGATTAAAAATAAAGAAAAAATAATGAAAGCCACACTCTCTGGGATTCGAGGGCACTGCAGAGTGAGGTGACAGAAAGGAGGGGGCTGGGCTTTGCAGAGGATGCTGCGGCTTCTGCTGCTGCAGAGAATTGCCGAGTCAGTGTTTTAGAGCCAAAGGGCGCCTCAGAGACCACCCCCACTTGAGGGATGAGAGTGGGTGCTGGGAAGGGAGGCTGGTGGCTCCTGGAGGTCCCAGGGCAGGAAGAGTCAGCACAGGGAAAACCCAGGGCCCCTAGGAGAAAGGCAGGGCCACGCTGGTTCTGTGGGGCTTTTCTTTTTCTTTTTTGTTTTTTGAGACAGAGTCTCTCGTTCTGTTGCCAGGCTGGAGTACAATGGCGGGATCTCGGCTCACTGCAACCTCTGCCTCCCAGGTTCAAGCGATTCTCCTGCCTCAGCTTCCCGAGTAGCTGGGACTACAGACACCCGCCACCATGCCCAGCTAATTTTTGTATTTTTAGTAGAGACAGGGTTTCACTATGCTGACCAGGACGCTCTCGATCTCTTGACCTCACAATCCACCCCCCTCGGCCTCCCAAAGGGCTGGGATTACAGGCGTGAACCACCGCCCCTGGCCTGGGGGCTTTGCTTTTCATGAGCTGGCATGTGGAGCCAGGAGGGAGAGAGAGGCAGGCGGGCAGGTACGAGCCCCTTTAGCTGGGACAGGCGGTCCCACAGATGTCTTGGCCTCTTTTTTCCTTTTCCTTTGCCCCACCCTTCTGCTAAGCTCAGCCTCCAAGGTTCTGGCTGCCTCCCTGGGGACAAAGCTGGGTGAGCTCCCACCAGTTGGGCAGGAGAGGACCGGGAGGTATCCTCCCAGCTTAAAGAAAGGGCAGGGGGAAGGGTGAGAAATGCCTGGAGAGAACTGTGGAGCCTTCTTTTCCAGGGAAAGCCACGCCTGCCTCAAACTCAGTTTGGTGGGGATGGGACAGCAAGAAGTGCTCCTGGCACACTGGTCCTTGACTAGATATTTGGCCGTAAGGAGATGCTCTTGGTAGGAGTCAAGTCAGGAAAGATCAGGAAATACACAGGACAAGAAGGTGGGGGCCTTAACAAATCTTTTTTTTCTTTTTTTTTTTTTTTGAAGGCGTCTCGCTCTGTCACCCAGGCTGGAGTGCAGTGGTGCGATCTTGGCTCACTGCAACCTCCGCTTCCTAGGTTCAAGCGATTCTCCCCTCAGCCACCTGAGTAGCTTGGGACGGCAGGCGTGCACCATCACGCCCGGCTAATTTTTGTATTTTTAGTAGAGACAGGGTTCTACCATGCTGGCCAGGCTGGTTTCGAACTCCTAACCTCATGATCCTCTGCCTTGGCCTCTCAAAGTGCTGGGATTTCAGGGGTGAGCCACCGAGCCTGCCCCCGTTTTTTTTTTTTTTTAAATCACAAGGCTTTCTGAACTGTGGGGTTCTATGCAGTAGAGATGGGCCCAGACCAGACAGGGGAGGCAAAGAGTGGATGCCATCCAAGTGTCCTCCCGTTTCACCAGAAGAGTCTTTGCTTTTATCTCTTTTATATGCTTTTTTTTTTCCTTTCATAAAGCACTTTCCTGAACGTCATCTCATTTGTTTCTCTCATCACCCGTGAGAGGAGATGAGCCCATCCCTTTTGTGAGGATGAAGACACAGCCTCAGAAAGGTTAAGTTCCATGCCCGAGGTCACAGAGCTCCCAATCAGCCAGAACAAGAATCCCAACCCCAGTTCTAGGTGCCGACCCCATTTCACAGGCACGGGAGACTAGACACGCCCAAAGGTGTGCTTCCCGGGCAGGATCATCCCTGGCCTCTCTGAGAAGAGCCCAGAGCTGCGAGGAGACCCTGTCCCAGGACAGTGACACAGATTGGCCCAGGTCAAGGGCACACCTGGGGGCAGTGGTCTTGCCATCTCTTTGTCCTGGAGCTCCATCTACTCTTTCCCTAGGGCTTTGTGCAGCCTCAGCTGAGAGCCCTGGAGATGAGGGTGAAGGGCAGGCAGCAGCCACAGGGGGCTGGGAGGGTGGGACTCTGCCAGGGCAATGCGGGGGCGGGCGGCGGAGAGGGCGGGCTCCGGCTTGACTCTGCCCTCACCTCTGGGAGGCTGGTGCCTCTTGTCAGCTGCCCTTCATTCCCCCCATCCCCCCGGCCTCTAAGGCAGCGACCACGTGGGTGAGTTGCCATGGAAACTGTGGAGTTCTATTTGAAAGCAATACATGGTGTAATGTGAGATGGCTTGTTGGGGGGTGATGGGAGGTGTGATAGGCAGGTGGGGCATCTACACCTGTTTGGCTAAAGTCCTCCCAGCTCATCTCTTACCACCAAAAACTGGGGGCCAGGCCACCTTCTTTCCCACAAGATACTCGCCTTCCCTACAGTCCCACTGCCAACCACCCACTTTCCCCAACCCTATTTGTAATCTCAGGCAAGAACCCCCAGGCACTGTCCTGACTACGCCCCACCCCAGAGAAGGAGCCATTATCCCTGTGACATAACACTAGGTGGCAAGAAACCAAGGAGGTCATTTTTGCCATACAAGAGACAGGACAGAGCTGCAGGGATTATCTGGATTACAGGGTGCCTGTGTGGGAAGGGGGTGAGCAGCGTTGGGGTCCTGGTGCTCCAGAGATGAACACGTGAACCCCCCTTCTCCCCCTCCCCACTGAGGTTTAGCAGCAAGGCCGGCCAGAGTCTGAGGGCTCACAGGAAACAGGAAGGCTGGGTCTAAGGAGAGATGGGCTTGCCACGGCCTCAGAATTTCCCCATGGCCCACACCCAGTCCCTTGCTGTTCCTGGCTCACGCCTGGTTTAGGCCCTGCTCTTGGTCTTGCCTGCTGTCACTTTTTCTATGTCCCCCACTCCCACCCCCCATCCAAGTCATAGCAGAGGAGTTCTGAATTTTCTCCTCCATTTAGCTGTGTGACTTGGGGTAAACTGCTAGCCTTTCTGAACTTCACCGGCTTCTTCCATGAAACAGAAACAAGGAAAAAAAAACCCTGCCTCACAGAGTTGCTGGGGGATTAAATGAAACAATGTATTCAAAGTGCTTAGCATAGCGCCTGGTGTCAACAAAAATAGAAGTATGATTACTATTATTATCCATCCTTCAACACTCAGAACAAACCCCATCTCCTCCAAGAAGCCTTCCTTTCTCTGAGGGAGGAACTAGGGCTTAGGCGCAGCTGCTGTGTGCCAAGAGCTTCGATGCATTTTCTTACTGCGTCCTCACAACAGCCCCGGGAGGGTGGTGCTGTTTTCATCATCCCCATTTTATAGAGGTGGACACAGAGGCGCAGCGAGCGTCTTGCTCAAGGTTGTTGGCTAGTAAGAAGCAGGTTCAAGGTTCAAATTCAGCCTGTCTGGTTTTAAAGCTGTGTTTTTTTCTTTTCTATTTCTTTTTTTTTTTTTTTTTGAGACCGAGTCTTGCTCTGTCGCCCAAGCTGGAGTGCAGTGGTGCAATCTTGGCTCACTGCAACCTCCGCCTCCCGGGTCCAAGCGATTCTCCTGTCTCGCCCTCCTGAGTAGCTGGGACTACAGGCGCCCGCCACCACACCCGGCTGATTTTTTTTATTTTTAGTAGAGACGGGGTTTCACCGTGTTAGCCAGCATGGTCTCGATCTACTGACCTTGTGATCCGCCCGCCTCAGCCTCCCAATGTGCTGGGATTACAGGCGTGAGCCACCGCGCCCATCAAAGCTGTGTTTTTTCTACCACGATATGCACCTCATAGATGGTACAACTCCTCCCCCAGCCGTTTTCCTTCCAGTTCAAAGCAGGTCATCATTGCTTCTGATTTCTT